GATGCCAAGAAAAAGTGGCACACTCGGTGGGGTGGCACTCTCGGTGGTGGAATACGTTATGTAGTAAGTAACTGTGTTTTCTTTTTTTTGGGGGGGGAAAGTGGATATATCAAACGACTCTGCAAAAGCATGGGTGTTGATTTCTTTTTTTTTTCTTTGTTTCTTTATTTTGGTCTTCTCTTCATTCCGCATGTGGAAAGGAGATGGGAAAGAGCAATTATTTCCAGTCTGTGCTGTATGCTGTTCTTTTTTTTGGTTTTTTTTTGCCTTGCTTTTGTGACAACGCTCTTTCTTTCTCACTATCTTGATTGGTTCAACGCTGTATTTGCTTTTTCCACTCTACTTCTTCTCTTGTTGTTGTTGTTGTTGTTCTTCTTCTTCTTCTTCTTCTTTACTGCCCATTCTTCACCATTCATGTTTTCCCAGTCTCTCTCTCTCTCTTTCTTTCTTTCTTTCTTTCCTTCTCCCCATTTTCCCCTCTTTATTCACTAGCTAAGCGTTTGACGTTGCGTTGCGTTGCGTTGCTAGACCAAGTAAGGTAGTAGTAGTCAGCAGCACGTAAGTTAATTACATCAGCGTATCAATCTGTTACACAGCACATCAGTCTAAATAGTTGTACAAGTAACATGACACAAGATGAAAACACGCAATAGAGTAGTAACTCGAGTAGGCATAATAAGCGCGCGATGGCTGATGCATTTTTCTGCTTTGTGGCATCCGTCTTTGTTTTTTTTTTACACGCGTCCATATGCATGTATGCATGCATACATGGGTGTATGTATGTGGGCATGTAAGTATGTAGGTATCCAGAAAGGGATTTGCTTGCATTGGTGTAGGGACACTTATATTCCGTATATGCAATCGATCGAACATTCTTTCCCTTTCCTTGCCTTGCCTTGCCTTGCCTTGCGTTCGCCTCGCCTCCTTCTACCCGTCCATCCGTCGTGCCGCCCGCAGCACGCGCGCGCGCAGCCTCACCTTTTTCCCCTCGTGTTTACCCACATGTAGCGCCTCACCCTAGCGCTAGCAGCTACCAAGCAACACGGTAGCCTCACCCAACCCCAACATAGTAACCCCACAGTAACCCCGCCAACTCGTGGGGATCCCGGGATACAGGGTTGGAGAATTGGGACAAAGAAAGGAAGGAAGGAGGGAAGAGGGAAATACGCCCCGCATGTGCATGGGATTTGGATTCAAG